AGGCGCCCGCCACCATGCCCGCCTAATTTTTTTGTATTTTTGGTAGAGACGGGGTTTCACCGTGTTAGCCTGAATGGTCTGGATCTCCTGACCTCGTGATCCGCCCGCCTTGGCCTCCCAAAGTGCTGGGATTACAGGCGTGAGCCACCATGCCCTGCCAGCTCAGATTTCTTAAAGCATAATTTGCTTATCTCCATTAGCCCTTACCTCACCGTGCTGCACTGTAACTGTATTTAGTGTGTCCCTGCCCCTAGACTGTGAGCTCCTTTAGGGAAGATCCATGACTTATCCAACTTTATCACTAGCGACTAGCATGATCTCCGACCAGTGAGTCCACATTAAGTGCTTCATGACATGTATGAAGTGAGACCTCACAGTCAGCATGGCTTTCTTTCTTTTCCTTTTTTTCTAAAGAGACAAGGTCTCGGCCAGGCGCGGTGGCTCACACCTGTAATTCCAGCACTTTGGGAGGCCAAGGCGGGCAGATCACGAGGTCAGGAGATTGAGATCATCCTGGCTAACACGGTAAAACCCAGTCTCTACTAAAAATACAAAAAATTAGCCAGGTGTGGTGGGACACACCTGTAATCCTAGCTACTCCAGAGGCTGAGGCAGGAGAATCGCCTGAACTCGGGAGGCGCAGGTAGCAGTGAGCTGAGAACGCGCCACTGCACTCCAGCCTGGGTGACAGAGCGAGACTCCATTCTGGGAAAAAAAAAAAAAAAAAAAAGAGAGAGACAGGGTCTCACTGTGTTGCCCAGGCTGGAGTGCAGTGTGGCTATACATAGGCATGATCCCACTAAGAATTAGCACAGGAGTTTGGATCTGTCCCATTTCTGACCTGCAGAAGTTTACACCTCCTTAGGCAACCTGGGGTTCTTCCACTCCCAGGGGGTCATTATGTTGATGCTAAATGTTGGCATAGCACACTACAGCCTAGAACTCCTGGGCCCAAGTGATCCTCCAACAGCATGGCCTTCTTGTTTTTTAAAAGCAGGATGCAAAAAAAACCCAGTCTGTCACCAAAGTACCATAGAACACAAGGCTAGAGTCTGCAGTGTAGGAATCGAGTTAATAGGTATGGGTTTAAAATACTTTTTTTTTTTTTTTAACAAAAATAAGACTAATATAGTAGAAGATGGTATCAAATAAAGTAAAAAGTAAGTAGTGAGACTATTAAATTGATTTAGAATTAAGTGAGGAAATATTACTTCTCTAGGGTCATCCTAGAAGTCAACAGAATAGTTGAGAATACTTACATTTTTCTTTTTTTTTTTTCTTTTTGAGACAGAGTGTCAGTCTGTCACCCAGGCTCAAGTGATCGATCCTCCCGCCTCAGCCCCCCAAGTAGCTGGATTTACAGGCACACACACCCGGCTAATTTTGCGTATTTTTTGTATTGACAGGGTTTCACCACGTTGCCCAGGCTGGTCTCCTACTCCTGGGCTCAAGTGATCCATCCGCCTCAGCCTCCCAAAGACCTGGGATTACAAGCGTGAGCCACTGCACTTGCCCTGTATTTCTTTCAACTGCCTTTTATCGAAAGATCAGTTTCCCTTTTCTTACTCTCATTTTTCCTCCCCTTTTCTTTCATTAAAAAAAAAAAACCTTCCCATATTTTAGATTTGCCAATTACTTTCACAGACATTACAGTGCTATTTTAACAGATAAACTCTCAATTACGGTGGCCTAAAAATAGAAGTTATCCCTCAGTAAACTCCAAAATGATTGGGGAAGGCTTTCATAGGCTTCCAGGGACCCAGGCTGTCTTCATTTTATGACCTCACCCGCCTCTAAGGCCTGGGAATCCTCTCCATTCAGCCAGAAAAACAGGGATGGAATGAACATTCAAACAGGGAGACTTTTATGGGCCAAGCCTGCAATGGAGCACATGCCTGCGGTCATACCCCATTAGCTAGCACTCAGTAACATGGCCACATGTAATTGCAAAGGGGAATGGGCAATGGAGTCTAACTGTGGCTGCAGGAGGAGAAAAATGGGTTTGGTGAATAGCTAGCTTGTCTCTGCCACTAACTGCAGATTATTTCAACAACAGATATGCATGATCTGGTGTACTACATGTAGGTAGCCCTTTCCTTACTTTCTCATGAAATCACTGCAACAACCTAATGGGATTGGAAATTAGTATGTCCAATTCAGAAACCTAAGGTCACACAGTTCCGAATGACAAACCAAGATTTAGTCCCTGTTCTGCTGCAAAACCTTCTGCATTATGCTGCATTTCTCCAAATAAAACACGGTGAAGTGAAATTATAGTCTGATAGCATTGTGATTACACTTAAAATATCATATAACTGCTACATCACCAACAGTGTCCATCCGTGGAGATGTTTTCCCAATTGGAGTGATGGACTTGTGCTAATTTACGTGAACTCTTGTCCCATTTTAGTATTTTATTTTTGAGACAGGGTCTCACTTTGTTGCCCAGGCTGTAGTGCAGTGGCACAATCACAGCTAACTGCAGCCTCTACCTTCCAGGCTCAAATGATCCTCCCACCTCAGCCTCCCCAGTAGCTGGGACCGCAGGCCCATGCCACCATGCCCAGCTACTTTTTGTAGAGAAGGGGTTTTGCCATGTTGCCCAGATTGGTCTTGAATCCCTGGACTCAAGCCATCTGCCTCCCTCAGCCTCCCAAAGTGCTGAGATAACAAGAAGTGAACCACTGTGCCTGGCCTTTTTCTCATTTTAATGTATAGCATTATATATTGATGTATAGCTCTGACGAGATCATTGCAGTCCCCTATAGAGGAATGAATCAATATTTACTCTCATCACTCATGTCTCATTAGCACTGAGAAACACAAATAGGCATTTCTACTTCTAAAAGATACTTTAAAAATGTGGTTTCTTTCTGTTACTGAAGTTTCCTAAAAATCAAAAAGAAGAAAATAGTTTCATTTTATCTTTACAATCTTTTGAACACTAGAGATATCAATCAGATATATCCATTTACAAATGAATAATAGCTATGTTACTCTGTGTAAGAAATATATGTATGTGTATATTCGTTTAATCCTCAGCATCACCTAATGAGTTAAGTGTTTTTGTTGCCAGTATTTTATTGCCGTGGCTATCAAAGCACATAGAGGTTAATCAACTTGAGTGAGGTAAGAGTTGCGCATTGAAGAAAATAAAACAGGTCAGGGTATTAGTGAAAGTCTCCAGCAACGTTCCCAGGGTTCATAGGTTCTATTTATTCTGCTCTGTATGCTATAGGTTATTCCTTATTTCTTGAAAGATCTTTTCCTCAGGACTTTCATAACATCCCCTGTTCCTTTCTTGCAGCTTCATTGTATCTTTATTGTGCAGACACGTTGACTTGAGTATGTAAAACCTAACAGTGCCTATTGTTGCGCTAAAAAATGCCTTTCTATTAAAGCATGAGGCAAAAACCTAACTTAGCTCTTTCTTTCCTAAACTCACAATTTATAGAGAAACCCCTTAACCTCCTCTGAAACAAAAGGCATACACGCTACATAGACATATATTTGAGACATTAAAGAAACATGAATTTCCATTTTAAAAAACGTTTAACTTAGTATCCTCTGTCAAATTTCTGGTGCCTACTACAAAACTGGAAAAAACTGTTAAAAAAATAGCTTTTGAAATATTAGTCATTTTAAGTGAGTCATGCCCTAAAAAGAATTTACTTGGGAGTCAAAGCTAGTTGACCCTAACATCTCAGAAATAAAACTCCAATTTGTTCATCTATTTAACCTACCATGAGTTTGTGATTTGTCAGCTTGTGAAAAACAACAACAAAAAACCCACTGAAATGGAACTGGTCACTGGAAACTCTCTTTCTGGTCTGTACTATCTAAATGCCAGCTGTCATGTCAGGCAAAAAGTAATTTGTAGAGCAGCTTTGTGGTCCACTGTATTATGCAGGAAAGACAATGTACTGGAAGAGCGAGGACTCAGTCATTTCGTGTCTACTACTGAGAAACTAAATTCTGTAGAGAACATGGGGCTAAATGAAGCTCAATAAAGATACGTTGGAAGAATCAATGAGGAGTTTACACAAGGGTAAAATAGAGTTCCAAGCGCTCTCATTGCTAACCGTACAGTCTCTATGACTGTTTCAAGTGGTTTTGCAGGTCATCCAGGCACTAACCTTTTCTTAGCCCGAACACATTTAAAGAGTGAAGGGGCAGCGCACTGTGAATGTTTCTCTCTGAACTTCCTTAAGTCAACTGGGCGGAGGCCCTACCCGTTCAGGCACCTGCAATTTCCGCCCTTCTCCTTCCCCTTCTTCCGGGCTACTGTCCCCGCTCATCACCCGGCCTGTGGTCCACTCCCACCGCCAGCTGGAACCCTGGGGACTACGACGTCCCTCAAACCTTGCTTCTAGGAGACAAAAAGGTAATGATCGTCATGTGTTAAGTCACTGCAGTATGAGGTCTTCACGTGAAAGCTTTATTTGGGTAGGAAAACCTAGCCTACGAGAAACGGGTCCGTGCGGTCACGCCTGACTGCCTGTCTCCGGCTCAAGGCTGCCAGGACCAGCTCCAGCCCTCCGCCAGAGAAGGTTGTCCTTTCCCCTCGGAACTCTGGCTTCCCTAAAGCAGACGCGCCTCCTTCCAGGCCTCACCTCCCGCCGGCTCCGCCCGGCCCGGCCCATCTCGTCCCCACCTCGGCGCCCACCCATTGTCCCCTCGGGCAGTCACCGAGCGCAGATCCCGAGCTCTCGATTGGAACGCCTCCCCATCACTCAGCCACACTCAGGGGCTGGACGCCTCACTCCCGTTTCCGAGCCATAAAAGGTCTAGGGCCACTTCCCCCAAGCCAGCAGGTAAAGCCGCGGCGGCGGGAGGGAGGCCGGGAGGGGCCGCGCGCCCCGGTCGGCCCCACCGGGCAAGGGGAGCGGTGTGGGGGCGGGGGGAGCGCACCACACACAACCCTCCCTTGCCGTGCGACCGCGCCCGGTCCCCGCCCCGCAAGTCCTGATCACAATGCCGGAGCCGCCGAGCCACCCTCGTCATCCTGCCCGGGGACGGCCCTGGGGCAGTTACTACCGCGAAGCACGGAGGGCGGGGCGGGGCGGGCCGGGCCTCGGGGAGATGTGGGGGGATGTGAAAGGTCCCGGATGTTGCTGAACGGGAGCCCCTTCCAGAGGGAGTGACTGGGGCAAGCGCAGACGGCCTGAGCGAAAGCTAAGGTGGGGGTAGGGAGAGAGCGCCTTCCCACAGGCTGAGAGGAAGAGTGGACCGGCGGAGGCTGCAGGGGAGAGGGAGAGAGAGGGCGTCGGGACCCAAGGGGAAGGCGAGGAGTGGGGGGGTTTGCGGGAAAAGAAAAAAAAAGCTTCCTGCCTAGGTGCACTCGGGACAAGCGTAGAGGAGCTGGGAGCCGAGCGGGGTGGGAGAAGTGGCGGCTGCGGGCGAGGACGCACGCGCCTCCGCTCGCCCTCCAGCGCGGGCGGGCAAGACGCGCGCCGGGGAGCGGCGGTTGCGCGGGGCCCAGATCGCTGTGGGCACCAATCAACGGTTGCCATAGCAGCGTTTGACGTCATCGTGCGTGTGGTGCCCCTGCTGCCGGGGCTGGTGATTGGAGGAAACCCCGTGTCTGCGGAGCGGCTGTAGCCTGTGAGCAGCGAGATCCAGGGACAGAGTCTCAGCCTCGCCGCTGCTGCCGCCGCCGCCCAGAGACTGCTGAGCCCCTGTCCGTCCGCCGCCACCACCCACTCCGGACACAGGTGAGGAACCTGGTCGCCGCCGCGCCCCGCTCCTTCCTGTCCCAGGCCAGCCTTCCGACCGCGTGGGAGCCGTCCTCGCTCCGTCCCCTCATCCCCACTAGCCCCGCGGTGGCGGCGCCGGGCTGAGGCGGAGTCTCCTCAGCGGACACGGGCGGCGGCTCCTCTTCCGCTGAGCTCGGGCGGGCGGCTAGCGGCCGCCTCCGACTCCTTGCTTCCGCATCGACGCCCCGGCGCCGATCGGTGCTCGCTCCCCCGTCCTGCTCCCGGGGGTGGGGAGGGCGCCCACACGCGAGATCCCCGGGGATCCCCCTGTCGCCGGCTCCCAAAGGTGGACGAGGCATGGCCGGGGCGCCGCCGGCCGCGATCCGTCCCCACCCTTGTCTCTGCGGGCTCCCACCCCCTCCCTCGTCGCCCTTCTCGCTTCCGCCCGAGATAATGACTCGGCGGCGGCGGCGGGCATCGCAGTGGCGCAGGTGAGGCCGCCCCCTCTTCTCTCCTTCGCCCCCCCCTCCTTCCCCTCCCCCGCCCCCCTCCCCCTCGCGCAGCCTCTGCGCTAGGCGCTGCGGCGGCAGGACCCGGCCCTCCCCCACCGCGGGAGGCGGCGGCGCGGCGGGGAGGGGCCGGGGGCCTCGGGGATCCAGAAGCGAGGGAAAGGCCTGGTCGAGAGCGGGCCGGAGCCCAGGCCTGGCACGGCGGCGTCCGCCAGGTAGACCGGGGCGAGGCCGCGCGCCGGCGCGAGGGGGAGCACACTGCGGGGTGAGGTTTTGGGGTGGGGCTCTCTTGGGACCTAGAGCTGAATTTCGTGGGCTCCGCGGTGGGAGGAAGGACTTGAAATTTCCTGGTGGGGGTGGGGGATGGGTCTGACTTTTGCTCCTTTCGAACGGGCGGAGGAGGTGCGGACGGGGGCTGCGAGTCCAGGTGGGGGTAGAGAGCGGGGTGGGGAGCCCGCCGTCGGCTTCCGTGCGTGATGGACTAGAACTGGAGGTTCCCTGCGCTCGGTTTGGGGGCGCATATCCTGCTTTGGGGGCGGGTGACCCTGAGCATAGCCGCTGGTGGCTCGCTCTGCTGGGTGTGGCTCTCGTCCCCTCCCCCACCTGCAGCTGTCGGTCCCTTAGAGACGCTGTACACGGGCATCGGCGCTGATCGGTGGCGGGGAAGGCGCTGGGTGGGAGAGCGGGGTGTGTCCGTGGCGGGGCTGGTAGTGGTTCCGCTTCTGCGGGCGGCTGTGGCGTCTCTGCCCCGGGGTCGGGCGGCTTCGCTCCCCCCGCTCCGCGCCACGGCTTGGGCGGGGGCGCGGGCTGCTCCTCCCTCTGGCTCGGGTCGGAGGAGGGGGGAATTAACACTCTGCAGTAGGTTGGGCTCCCTGACACAGATCCGCCATGACAAAGGAGAGTCGGGGACTTGAGCGGAGGCTCCGACTTGGGCGGAGCCTGGAGGGGGGTGGTTGCGGATAAGTGGACCGGAGGATTTTCACTTTAAAGTCCGGGTCTGCCGGTTTTCGTTTCGCCGTAGTCGACGTCTCAAGTCAGGTAAGGGTTAAATGGGTGCGGTGAGTCCTGTCCGCAGTGTAGAGGCGAGGCCTTGGAGCACTCACTACTGTGTGAGAAACCTTATCCACTTCCTCTTGTACCGAAGTGATTGGGTAGAGAATCCTTTGTACTGGTTTAAATCATTTTTCATTAGAAGCAGAATTAACCAGAGACTTTCTGAGATCCTAAGGGAAAAATTAGTAATTTAGACACCTGAGGAAAATAATGCCGTCATAAAGGTTAAATAGTTTACGTATTGAGCCAGTACCTTGTATCCAAAGTGGCTAAATAATTTGTTTAAAATGTGGGGACCTGTTCTAATTTAGTTTAAAAAATACTGTGAGATTTCCCTGGGAAGGCAAAAGATGATTAATATTCGGAAGTCAGCTTCCAAGGTGAACTCTTCCGTTCATCTAATTTAAAAGTGCACTTCATTCAGGGTGTATATTTTTCTCTAAAGTCGTTTTTTTTTTGGTGTGGTATCGCTGTGTAGATTAGTATCTTTGTGCTGTTTGCCAACTTGCCAAAGGATATCTTTCCAGAAAAATGTAGCTGAGGTAAATAGAAAAGGTCTAGGAAACTAAAACGTGAGGGAAAGACAATTAGGTGGATAGTCATGGTGAAGAACAGCTTGAGTGATAACATCCAATTACAATATGACAGCTAGACCAAAATGCAGCACTTCTACATTTCAACTGGAGCAATGACATTGGAAACACTTGTAAATCAAGTACTTCCAACGTGATATATTCTAGTACTCACAGTAAGAGTTGAAGTGCCATGACTTGTGGATATTTTTAAAGCATGTGGACATATAACAAGATAAGGAGTTGAGGCATTAGGGTCAGATATTGATCCTTTGTGGTGGATTTATACTCAGAATATCTGAAAACAAACAGTTTGGTCATTCCCCCCCCCAAATTGTTATGCTATTATTGGCTGGCAAATGTTGCAGAGATCTAGTAGGTTTGGGGTGGGGGTAACACTAAAACTAAAATTTAATCACTCCTGACGAAAGTATTATGAAAGTAAAAAGACGAGTTAAACTGACAAGAATTATGATTCTGGAAATATGATAGAAATCCAGATGTTCTCTGTAAACAATGCTTTTACTATGGAAGAAAAGCTGCTTAATTTCAGATCACTTAGTGGTATTGGAAATGAGTTGAGATTTTGGTCAAGTAAGATTAGGGGTAAGTTTTTGAGGCAGCTTTTGAAAGTAATTTTGACCTTATGTGAAATCTGTATCTTCTGAACAAATTTTAGTTTTGCTACACTGATGTGTTAATGGCTGAAAGTTTACCTCTGATGCTGAGTATGCTGAATTTTTTTTCCTTTTCTGACTATCCTTTTGTGAAGCTGCATTTTAATTCCTCATGTGAACAGTCTTCCACAGGCAGTTAGATTTCAGGTTTAAAAAACTCATTTACCACAGGTATAATTTTGAGTCTGTTTATTTTGATGGGAAAAATTTTAAATACTCCTTTTTTCCCCCCTGCAGAACATCCAGTCATGGATAAAAATGAGCTGGTTCAGAAGGCCAAACTGGCCGAGCAGGCTGAGCGATATGATGACATGGCAGCCTGCATGAAGTCTGTAACTGAGCAAGGAGCTGAATTATCCAATGAGGAGAGGAATCTTCTCTCAGTTGCTTATAAAAATGTTGTAGGAGCCCGTAGGTCATCTTGGAGGGTCGTCTCAAGTATTGAACAAAAGACGGAAGGTGCTGAGAAAAAACAGCAGATGGCTCGAGAATACAGAGAGAAAATTGAGACGGAGCTAAGAGATATCTGCAATGATGTACTGGTGAGAATCAATTGAGTCTGGCTTCATTATACTGTAAGGTTCCTATGAGTATCAGTTACATTACTCTCAACGTTTTCTTCGGTTTGTTTTTTCCTTCTAAACATTGTGTGTTCAAATTTAAAAGTCTTCATGGTGTCGTAACTAAAAAGATGTTAAGACAATTATAGATACGTGTATGTAAAGTAATTGTAATAATGATGATGAAACAGTTCAGTTTTAAAAATAACAGACTTTAGTATTGTATTGTGTATTAATTGAAAAGATAAACTAATAGTATTACTGCTTTACTTATGGTTAGAACATTTGTGGTAGCTCTATAGCTGGTTATCTTAAATGTACATCTATGGATAAAGGAATTTTACATATTTTATGTAAGAGAGATGTAATAGGATACTGATTGTAGAAATAGTACTCTTCTCAGGATTAGCTGCTATGATGTTAATGTAATGAGTCAGCCATGCAGAAAACTCTGGCGTCACGACTATGAAACCTCTTTCCTGCATTGAATTCTTGAAAATAAATTTTGAACACTCGCAACCATGATGAAAGGTTATGAATAACTCAAGCTTGATTTTTCCAGTTTGAATCGAGTATTTTAAGTATTCAGTACCTACTGTGTTGAAGCACTGCGCTTAAAATGATTAAACTACATTTTGGTTAATTTTAATCTGTCATACAAAGCAGGGCTTTTTGATCAAGAATAGTTTAAATTTGAGGATAAACTAGTAGAAAATCCAAGCTGGCAGTTTTTGGAATAATATTTAAAGTGATTTTGCTAAATGGTTACACTTAACCAGTATGGCAGGACTCTGATATACAAAGAAGGGCAGCAGCATCGCGATTTTTCTGGACAGGTTACTGAATGTGGGACTCAGTATGGAAATCCAGGTGTGTTACTTACTATATGAACCTTACTTATATGGAAGAAGTACTGTGATGAGCAATAGGATAATATCTGATGTGGTTGTGGGTTTGGGGTTTTTGTTACAGTTGTGATGATGCTATCATTTCTTTACACTTGTATTTACTAATGGAATAGCATCAGTTCCTAAACTGTATTTTTCTCAAATGATACTTGACACTGTCTTTTAAAATAGTAGTGATTTTTAAAAACATGCTTATTTGGGTTCACAATCACAAACTCAATGAGACATCTGTCTTGGGGCTTTTTTGTTGTTGTTCTTATTGAAACCTTTACAATGATAGCTGTTATTTGTATCTAAGTTGAAAAAAGGAATATCTTGCCTTTATTGAGGCCAAGTGACAAATACCTATCTTGTGATTCTGCTAAGGTAATAAGAATATTTAAATTTTGAAAATGTGATTTTTTTTTCTATAATAAAAAAAGTATTGGGTTTTTTTTTTTTTCCTTGCTCTCCTTACTAATATCTGTGTAAGTGTAACTCAGTTTTGTTCAGTCTGGTGTTACACTTGATCAAAAAGTTTTTATTTGGGCTTCAAAGGATGTGTTACAAGTTAACATTTCCCTTAAGACAAAAGTCAATTTTAGGAATAAAAAGGAATGTGACATTTACCTTTTAATAACACGCTTATTTGCAATACCAGGTAGGTATGGGCATGTTTTCCATATACAAAGTATAAAAGTTCTTGTCATTGTGAGTCTTCTCCTGGGAAAAGACTTGTAGCAGGTTTGTTTTTTTGTGTTTCTTTTGAGACTGAGTTTTGCTCTTGTTGCCCAGGCTTGAGTGCAATGGCATGATCATAGCTCACTGCAACCTCAGCCTCCCGTGTTCAAGCAGTGCTTCCGCCTTGACCTCCCTAGTAGTTGGAATTACAGGGCGTGCGCCACCACGCCCAGCTAATTTTTGTATTTTTAGTAGAGATAGGGTTTCACCTTGTCGGCCAGGCTGGTAACCAGGTCAGGTCTAACTCCCAGCGTCAGGTGATCCACTCGCCTCAGCCTCCCAAAGTGCTGGGATTACAGGGGTGAGCCACCATGTCTGGCCCAACTTGTAGCAGTTTTGACTATGCTTCCCTTTGGTTTCCTTATCAAGAAAAATTTTTTGCATAGAACCAGTAGATGAGGATGACAAGATAATCTCTTAATATTAATAGCTTCTTCTTGTTACGATTATTAAGGAGTTTGATTCTGGTCCCTACCCACATTGTTACCCTCTAGAATAGCACTGGCTTCTTAAAAAGTCTAAATGGTATTTACACTTTGAAAGTTTGGATGAATGAGAGTTTTCTTTACTATACAAGTGGGTTCGAAGAGAATACTAAACAAGCTTTGGCTTCCAGCCTTAGTCTTTTTAAGAGTAAGACTTAGTGATCTTTGCATACTCAGAACGTGTAGTAGATGCTCAAATATTTGTTAAACAAGCAGAAAGGCTTCTTTTGAGAAAGGATAGAATTAGGTCAGCAGCACTGCAAAATTTCCCTGGCTTTTTCTTTTTCTGCTTGGGAAAATTTGATATTTACAGATAATAGGCTTCTTTTTCCTACCATCTATTTCAAATAGGTCACATCGACTCTGGAAACATTGCATAAAATTCCTTTTCCCCTTTTTAGTGAAATGGAAGAATAAAGTGTAGCAGAACTGGTATTTCTACTAGAGAAAGTTTTTGAATCATTGTTAATGATTATTAAAAATATTTTAAATTATATATTTGAGATTTTACATGATAAAAAAATCAATTATAATTTTTTATTACTCCAGCCTTTTCTGGGCTTTGAGATATATATATGTATATACACATATACATATATATACACACTTTAATTTGAGAAAAATAAGCAGGTAATCCCTTTGCAGAATTAATGGTATTGGCTGGTGGCATTAGTGATAACCAGATTTTTTATATTGAGCACCTGTTTTATAATAGCTATGAAAATATACTCTTCCTACAAAAAGCAGCTAATCTCCAACGTTCTGAGTTTTTTCTGAAGAACTTTTTAGTAACCCATTCTGGTTACATGTATTTATCAATTGTTTAACCATTTAATAAGCAAAGAGCTTGGACCATGTTGCTTATTACAAGAGTTAATAGAGCATTACCGTGGGAAGTGGTCACTGGCATGTTCTTCACAATGTGGACTTTTCATTATGTAAAAGAACTTCGAGTTCTTCTCTTCCATGTGTTAATTCGAAACTGCAATATGTGAACTAATGCAATCTGCCTTTCCTGCCAGATGCTTAGACAGAAACTCTCTTGGTAGTTGGGGAGGGACTCAACACTAGTACCTCTTTAAACCTGAAAGATGGCAGCCAAAAATTGGGTAGTTTTTATCTTGCACTTGATGAAATGAATTCCAAGGAAATACAGTCTAGGAAGACTATTTCAAACTCAAAGAAGTATGCCGAGGTGAATAATGGAGCTCAAGATACTGAATCAAACTAGTTTTACCATTTAATAGATGCATGGCCTGAGGAAATCACTCAGTCCCTCTGAGAAAACTAAGCTCAATTAAATAGGAATAATTCTCATCCCCCAGGGTTGTGGGGAATGAGAGGTAAAGCACCTTGACTACCTTTTGTGTCCTGTTTATCTTAGCTTTTCAGTTCTATTTAAAAGTGTGAGCCTGCCTGTAATAGTGCAGGGGTCTCTTAACTCATAGTCCATGAATGGAATTTAGAAGATGGATGAAGCCTTTAAGATTGTGCATTTTTCTGGGGCAGAAGGTCCATGCCAACCATCAGATTTTCAAAGATTTCATTTTAAAATTTAAAATCCACTGCTATAGGCAAAGAATGACTTTATAGGAAGTCTACGACAGGAAGCAGTGTAAAATTGTGTGTCTGACATTCATAACAGTTGGCAACTGCAGTTCAGTAATCTTAATAGTGATTCAGTTAATTCGACTGAGTTCTATTTTATTGCTGCTCTACATTTTTATTTGCTCAGAGCAATTTTAAGTTGTGGTTATGGGGCACCGATTTTTATCTCCAGCCCACAGAACTACCATTAAACAGAAATAAGATAAGAAAGCAAGTAGTTTTTGAGTCCCTTGTAGTCTGAATATATTATTACATGCCGTGGGCTTTAAAAACTGCTATGTAGTTTTTAAGATGAAAATCACTAGGCAGCTCATTGGAAAATAAGGCCTTCTCCAAAGAACTCTGTAGTGTTATATATATTGTTACTATTTTATTTTATTAAGATATACTGTATAATTTCCATGTCTTCGTGGTTTTGGTATGTTTCGAAGTATAAAGAATTCAAGTTCTGTGGTCTCAGGAAGGAAGAAATAGGACAGTAGTTTTTTTTTTTTTTTTTTGAGACGGAGTAACGCGCTGTCGCCCAGTCTGGAGTGTAGTGGCATGATCTCGGCTCACGGCAAGCTCCGCCTCCTGGGCTCACACCATTCTCCTGCCTCAGCCTCCCGAGTAGCTGGGACTACAGGTGCCTGCCACCACACCTGCTAAGTGTATTGTATTTTTAGTAGAGGTGGGGTTTCACCATGTTAGCCAGGATGGTCTCGATCTCCTGACCCTGTGATCCGCCCACCTCGGGCTCCCAAAGTACTGGGATTACAGTCGTGAGCGACTGCACCTGGCCTGTACAGTGTCTTTGGTAATAAAGTTCATTTTTTTTAAAATGCGAAGTGCCACACCCAGTGACATATTTGTACAAATACAAAAAGTCTGAGGTATATGAAGTGGAAATGATGAAAATAAAGGGAATGGAAAGGTAGAGAGGCCTTTGTTGTTTGATGGGAAGGGAAACTAGCTCTGCCTTTATAATACTGAATTAAATGTCATTGGACTTATGGATTAATTTCACAAATTTTTGATTCCAAAATAAGTTACTCTTGGCATATTTATATTGAAGTGTGTGTGAGAGAGAATTTTTAAGTCAAAATGATGGGTGTTCTGGTATCAAGTAAGTTTTAAAACTTAGCATACAGTTTATTGAAATTCTAATAAGTTTCTTAGAATTTTTTTGTAGAATTCTGGTTCCCTATTGTGATTTCATCCTAGTTCCCATAGCTTTTGCTTTACTCTTGACAGTTTTACACAGAGAATAAACACTGCTCAA